ACAGTATAGGACAGCACAGTACAGTATGGTACAGTACAGTATGGTAAGGACTGTATGGTACAGTATGATACAGTACAGTACAGTGTAATACACTACAGTACAGTGCAATACAGTACAGTGTAATACAGTACAATACAGTGTAGTACAATACAGTACGGTATAATACAGCACAGTACAGTGTAATACAGTACAGTACGGCAGCATCAAGAAACTATGAAAAAATAATATGCTACATTTAGGACATTTAACAGAGAGACGTTTCTTGTAAATAAATGTCTTAAGTGTTGCATTATCTGGTTATCACACACATTACGAGTACCACTGCTACAAGAATTCTTTGTCTTGCGAGTTTGTTCATTAACTGTCAAGGTATCTGATGTCCCACTTACAGTGAGTCAAGCTTCAAGGGTTTCCCAACATCACCTTATCTAGGTAATGACCAAACTTAAAGGTAAATACATAACCAAAGATGCTGAACCATGCAACGACTATAACATTTTAAATATATATATATATATATATATATATATATATATATATATATATATATATATATATATATATATATATATATATATATATATATATTCATTACAAAGAACCACACATTAGCAATGGATGTCAAAGATCCTTTAATGTATAAATGACAATATGATATCAGAGAATGATATGATGAAATTCTTGTGTCAGAAATATCACTTGTGAAGCCAAACACTAATTTTTAACATTAATGTTTGTTTTGCTGCTATATACATACAATATTATATATATATATATATATATATATATATATATATATATATATATATATATATATATATATATATATATATATATATATATATATATATATAATGTAATAAGTACTGGGGCCCAAATTGGTAGTCTCACGTTTGCAAGTCTACTGCTGAAGAATGAAAGTTACAAACACTGTAAGTGGAACATTTCACAAATAACTCTCTCTTAGGAGAGGAAGATTATGACGATGTTTTGGTATGACCTGAATCATTGTTAAGTCGTATCTGAGGGATAAAAAAAAAAGTTTATAAGCCCAGGTGCCACGTCGGGTAGTACTAGCTGTTGTCAAGGAGCAGAGGCGCACTGTAGTAGGCCTACTGGCCTATGCTGGGACAGAAAAGGAAGCAAGGAAGGGGAAAAGCAGAAGACACGAAAGGCAAAGGAAATACAGAAGACAGATTAATAGGTAAGGAGAAGAGGAGGAGGCAATGGTCAGGTCTAGAGATGTATCGGATGTGAAAATTTAGATATCCGTAGATGTGGATGTTATTATTATTATAATCAAGGGGGAAGCGCTAAACCCGGAGGATTATACAGCGCCTGGGGGGGGGGGATGTGGAAGGCATTCAGGCTTAATTCGGGGAACTGGAGCACTGATCCAATTCCCTAAATCAAGAGCCCCTCACCAACATCAAGGAACCTTCCTTGAGGGGCTAGATGTGGATGTGTATGAGGATGTCTTATTTTGTGGATGCGGATGTAAGAAATTGTGCGGATGTTCAGTGGATGCGGATGCGGATATCCGATACATCACTAGCTCAAGTCAAGTCACAAGTATTCTGAGTAGAGCATTTGACAATGTATTGAGAAGAGAAGAGGCATCTACAGAAATAAAGCCAGGACCAGGGTTCATGTGTGTCCTCTCATGTGCTTTCTTTTTTGTGACAAGTCTACGGCTATAGAAGCTAGGCTATAGACCTCAAAGATCTCTGTGTGAGAAGCGTCAACGTTTGCTCAACTCCATTGTATAAGGAGATCTCAAAAAAATAGCTTAATTTCATGATGGTAAGAAACTCTGATTTCATGGACATGAGTGGTGGTTTATTTAAGGCTGTAACCACGAGTCTTATGTGGTGTTAGCATCTCTATATTAATGTGAGTTGAACAATTATCGTGGCTACTGAGTCCTTTTGGAACACTGTGGTCTAGATGATTTGACTCGACTTGCATATGTGAGGCTGCCGATTTTATCCTCAGTTCAGTACCATTTATATGATTAGTCACTTTCTCCATTTCGTAAAATTCTCGAATATATACACTCGTCACTATGTGACATAAACAACTTATTTAAAACCCACATAAAGGGGTGAGGCTGCTAAACAATCCTTATCTCTCTCTTTTAGTCAACCCACAACTTTTTCTCACTGCTCTATCCTGTCTTGCCCATCCCCATCAGTCTTATAGCCTAACAAATAAAAACTGGAACCAGGAGCTATGAATCGACCCCTGCAATCACATATATCTGAGTACACACACACACACAATTCCGTCTCCAAGACTGGACATTACATGCCGAGCTCTGTTCATGCATCTAAAAAATACAATACATAGATGCAAGCTCACTGATGAGAATATTGGCTATAATAATTGAATAATTATTAATGAAACTGGACAAATTATGATGAAAGATGACATTTAGTATCCAAAGGATTATACACACGAACGCTGCTAGTTTATCACCAACATATACACTATACGAAGACCAACATAACTCATAATACCAAGCACATATGTTGATAACAGTTTCACCATTTACGGTGTATATGATTCCCAGCTGTTCTACTTTACCCTCTGTATTATTAGTAGTAATCATAACTAAGCGCTAAACCCGCAAGGGCCATGCAGCACTGTTTACTCTTCGGTAACAGAGCGTAATTGCCTCACCTTTACCCCCCCCAAAAAATACAAAAATTTCTCTTTTGCTGGTTTAACATTTATAAAATGATAGTTTTAATGATGCTGCTAGTCGGGAGACCTCAGAAACTAATACCTAACATGACTCACGAAATCGTAATGACACGATTGCAAACAAGCCATACCATGGGTGTGGTTTGAACCCGCGATGCGTTAGCCACTGGGTCAGCTGGCTACAATAAGATTCTTCCAACTAATTCAGCCATCTTCAAAACTTGGAGCAATAAAACGTTTAAGTGACCAGTAAACTGTTCATTAAGACCCGTGTCAGGAGACACTTGTTCTGTCTCCTGACGAATAAAAGCAAGTGTTACTTAATTTTTAAAGTTGTACACCGGTAAGCCAGTGGAAGGCCTCGGTCAGATAACCTAAAGCTCTAGTGGCGGGTCATCATATGACTAAGACCTCCTTCAGGAAACAGTTGTCCTTCTTGACAAAGCTTACCTAACCTATCTGCTCAAGGAACGCCACAAAGTTAATAAAACCGAAATGTATCTGTCGAAGTGAGTTAATTATCATCGCTGGATGCACCATTATGGGGATACCTTGACCCAACAGACTTGGCTTGACTGGCAAATGTATGGTAAAACTTAACAGTGTTGGGAATACTGTATCTGATTACTTAACCACCTTAAGTCCTTCCAGTAGGTATAGAGATTTCTTACATTTTTGCAATTATTCTTTTGAATGTTGCCTGTTTACTGCTAGGTGAACAGGGATAACGGGTGTCAGGACACTTGCTCACAGTCTCTCTTCGTCCGGGAAGCAAGTCCGGGACTTTACCATTGTTTTCCGAACGTTCTGATCAGTAAGCCACAAGCCACCCTGGCTTAAGCAATGGCTGTTGGAAGGAGGTGTATCATTTGTTTTATGTGCACTGTGCTCTCCCGCAGTTCTAGTCTACACTTTGCAGATTCAGCAAAAGTAACAACAGCTCTCCTGCGGGCCTTGGTGTTATAGCTGTCCCACCAATGATGTATCAACGACTAGGTCTGTGTTAATTAAATCTTTCGGATGCACCATCTTCCCTCTCCTCCTCCTTCTGCTCCTCCGTGGTCGTTTTCAGCAGATATGGTAGGGATATCGTCCCAGGCGCCACTGCCAAAACCGAAAGCATTCACTTGCCAGCAAGTGATCTATAGTTCTAGGTGTTGTCTTAATATTTAATGGTCTACCGGTGCTCCCGAGTCACAAGAACACAAAACTACTACGGCATTTTGAGACCTTACACTCATCACACCAATTTACACAATATCACATGCCTAACCCCACAGGAAACATGGAGGTATTCAACTTTATATAAAAAACAGCATCTATTCCATTCTGCTTATATCCTAACAATGCACACGATATATCCCCTATTCACGACTCGCTCCATCTGCTTAAAGTTGCATACAGCAAAGGTTTTCCTAATCACGTCACATAAACAAGGGTAATATGAGGCTCTCGTGCAGAGTAAAAGATATTAAGACCAGTCATATGCAGACATATGAGTACCAAGTGTGTTTCACATGGCAAACTCCACAAGATCAAGACAGGAAGCACTGACCTTAACTGTAACTCACATCGAAGGTGTCAATTATGCTTTCACAAATTTCTTTAAGACTTAGATGCTTACAGAGAGAGAGAGAGAGAGAGAGAGAGAGAGAGAGAGAGAGAGAGAGAGAGAGAGAGAGAGAGAGAGAGAGAAATGACATTGGAATACAGTAATAAACTACACCTACAGTAAGTAAAGTACACAGAGCGGGTTATGGCCTATGTAAATGCCATCACCAGTATAATGTTTCCCATTTACATAAAATAACATACTATGCCACTGACATAAGAAAAAAAACGCCACATAGGGCAAAAGGAGGCCTTCGTTAGTACGACATTTCACCTCCAGTGGGAGAAACGTCGTCTAAATACAGGTTTAATTTTACGACATGTCCTTTAACCCCTTGTCGGCTTTGCTGTATGTTAGGCATACTTAAATTACAGGAGCTATAAGGGCATTAACTCATACTAAAGTTGGAAAACTCTTACAAGCTGTAAGTTGTGTGACTGTAAATGTTTGAGGAATAACCGTAGAAAGGCTGGCTTCAAGAGTGGACTCAGGTGTGGCTTACAGAAGAGTGACTTCGAACACGAGATTGTTGAGTTGAGACTTCGAGAAGGGAACAAACAGGTATTGAGGCTTGAAGTCTGCAGGTGTCAAGGCTTCGAGAAGTGAGTCTGCAGGTGTTGAGGTTTGAAGGAGAGGGCTTACAGGTGTCGAGGCTTCAAGAAGATAGTCTGCAGGTGTCGAGGCTTCAAGAAGAAAGTCTACAGGTGCCGAGGCTTCAAAAACAGATGTCGAGGCTTCAGCTAGCGTTGACTGCCAGCATCTCAAGACTGACGGCTCCGGTGAGGGAGGTGCGATGTTCAGACAGGAAATGAGCATACTTGTCTGAAATAATAATAATAATAATAATAATAATAATAGTAATAATGAAAATGGAGATGGTAATAATGACAATAAAGACAGTGTTTACAGTAAGAATTGGATTCAATAAATATCTACTTAATTTTGTCCCAATTAATTACTACTCATAGCTTTATTTTGTGCTTTTAAACTAAGCTAGTTTCCCCCCCCCCGTGCTAGTAAAACATTTAAACTAGTGCCTTCTTTACTAGTAAAACTTAAACTAATGCTAATACAAAACTAGTGCCCTCCTCACGCTAATAAAACGTTTAAACTAGTTTTACTTAAAGTTTTAAAGTAAACTAGTGTACCCTCGCACTAGTAAAACTTTTAAAGTTAAGTCGTTGAAGAGTTACTTTAACGATAGAAATCTTTAATAACTATTAACCTAAAAATATATATATATATTTTGGTTAATTACTGTGTCATCCGTGAGTTTTAAAATGTTGTGTGTGTGTGTACTCACCTATTTGTGGTTGCATGGATCGAGTCATAGCTCCTGACCCCTCATTTGTGTGTTCAAGCTGTGTGAGAACTTAACAAAACACTAACAAAAGCTTCAGATAAGCTTATCAACGTATATAAGCGATACATCTATCCTAAAAAAAAAAAATCAGCTGAGAGAGAGCTAACATTCCTCAGTTTAACTTGAGAAAAAAATCATAATTCGTAAGCTTTTATGAGAAAAACACAACTAGGTATCTATTATGTCAGTAGGACCAAGTGATCACAACTATGCAAAAAATCGAGACTAATCTATCGCCGGTTTACTTCAGGCAGTGAATACTTCCATTTACCGCTTCCCCTGTCCCCAAGGATAGCTTGGGGATGTTCCCTCTATCCCCGTATCAGCTTCCAAGTATCGTCCAGCTCCTGTGTCTCTTCACAGGAGGCTATTGGTGTAAGCTTCATCCTCGGTACACTTTAAAATGCTGAGTGAGAGGCCTACTGGTGAAGAGTCTGGGTATGATGCCACTCACTGGCTATAGAGACGAGCAGGATGCCCCACGCCACGCCCCAGAACCACCCGACTAGGAAGAACGTCACTGTGAACAGCTGAACGAAGCCGGTGACTGCGGTCACCACCACTGAAGTGAACCTCTGGCCGCTCGTCTCTACCGCACCCATCCTGTTGCGGCCCCAGCAGATACCCAGCCACCCGCTAGCAGCTGTTCCTGCCCAAGAAGAGGGTAACTTTAGTGTTATTTACTCCAGGTGGGTTATTGCCTTTCAGCCCTCCATGGAAGTTGTATTCTATATATATCACATATCTTGAAGCTCTCCCAAAAACCTCATCACTAGCAATCCGTTCCTTAAATCACTTGCAAATGCAACTGCCCAGGAATAAATCCTCTCTTAAGTATTAGTAATAATTTATAACAAATTACATACACTGATGGATCTAAGATGGAGTCTTTTATGGTCACCTTAGATAAGAACTCCAGCAACCATGTTGCTGGAGTTCTTATCTAAGGAGCATAACACTTAGCAACTGGCTGTCTACACTGCAAACTGATTTGTTTGTCATCTTAATGGTGCTAAAGTTAATTTATGACACTGATCTTGACTCCTTGATCATTACTGATTCTGTATTATCGCTAAAGACTCTTAACTCACATAACAACATGATCATTAGACAAGTCAGGTATAACTACTCCAAAATCACCAATTTTAATGGATTCCATCACTCACTGTATCACTCATTCAAGATAAAGTTGCTAAGTCGGCCCAAAAAAAAGGTACCCTGAAAGGAAATGTAGAATATAAATTTGGTGTATCTGCATCTAGCATTAGAAATAATATTAAGAAAGTAAATAATGAAAGTGAATGTCATAGAAATGCCGTTAGAAGCCTAAGCAGAATTATCATTCAAAATAAAAATAGGTTAAATATGTCTATGGAGAAACTTGCAGTGTGACGAAACTGGCTGATGTTATTGTAACCAGTTTGGCGCACACACACACACACACACACACACACACACACACACACACACACACACACACACACACACACACACACACACACACACATCTCCCATGGGGAGATAACATCTCCCCATGGGTATTGAGAGAGGGAGCAGAGGCGCTATGTGTACCCCTAACAACAATATTCAATACATCTATCGAAACAGGGAGATTGCCTGAGGCATGGAAGACAGTAAATGTAGTCCCAATCTTTAAAAAAGGAGACAGACATGAAGCATTAAACTACAGACCAGTGTCACTGACATGTATAGTATGCAAAATCATGGAGAAGATTATCAGGAGAAGAGTGGTGGAACACCTAGAAAGGAATGATCTCATCAACAGCAGCCAACATGGTTTCAGGGACGGGAAATCCTGTGTCACAAACCTACTGGAGTTCTATGACATGGTGACAGCAGTAAGACAAGAGAGAGAGGGGTGGGTGGATTGCATTTTCTTGGACTGCAAGAAGGCGTTTGACACAGTTCCACACAAGAGATTGGTGCAAAAACTGGAGGACCAAGCAGGGATAACAGGGAAGGCACTACAATGGATCAGGGAATACTTGTCAGGAAGATAGCAGCGAGTCATGGTACGTGGCGAGGTGTCAGAGTGGGCACCTGTGACCAGCGGGGTCCCGCAGGGGTCAGTCCTAGGACCAGTGCTGTTTCTGGTATTTGTGAACGACATGACGGAAGGAATAGACTCTGAGGTGTCCCTGTTTGCAGATGACGTGAAGTTGATGAGAAGAATTCACTCGATCGAAGACCAGGCAGAACTACAAAGGGATCTAGACAGGCTGCAGACCTGGTCCAGCAATTGGCTCCTGGAGTTCAATCCCACCAAGTGCAAAGTCATGAAGATTGGGGAAGGGCAAAGAAGGCCGCAGACGGAGTACAGTCTAGGGGGTCAGAGACTACAAACCTCACTCAAGGAAAAAGATCTTGGGGTGAGTATAACACCATGCACATCTCCTGAAGCGCACATCAACCAAATAACTGCTGCAGCATATGGGCGCCTAGCAAACCTCAGAACAGCATTCCGACATCTTAATAAGGAATCATTCAGGACCCTGTACACCGTGTATGTTAGGCCCATATTGGAGTATGCGGCACCAGTTTGGAACCCACACCTAGCCAAGCACGTGAAGAAACTAGAGAAAGTGCAAAGGTTTGCAACAAGACTAGTCCCAGAGCTAAGAGGTATGTCCTACGAGGAGAGGTTAAGGAAATCAACCTGACGACACTGGAGACAGGAGAGAATAGGGGGGACATGATAACGACATACAAAATACTGAGAGGAATTGACAAGGTGGACAAAGACAGGATGCTCCAGAGATTGGACACAGTAACAAGGGGACACAGTTGGAAGCTGAAGACACAGACGAATCACAGGGATGTTAGGAAGTATTTCTTCAGCCACAGAGTAGTCAGTAAGTGGAATAGTTTGGGAAGCGATGTAGTGGAGGCAGGATCCATACATAGCTTTAAGCAGAGGTATGATAAAGCTCACGGCTCAGGGAGAGTGACCTAGTAGCGATCAGTGAAGAGGCGGGGCCAGGAGCTCGGACTCGACCCCCGTAACCTCAACTAGGTGAGTTCAACTAGGTGAGTACACACACACACACACACACACACACACAACACACACACACACACACACACGCACACACAGATAATGATCAAACTAAATGCAAAGTATGTGGTCAGCTTTTTATTTTTAGTTAACACATGGGCCGTCTCCCACCAAGGCAGGGTGGCCCGAAAAAGAAAACCTTTCACCATCATTCACTCCGTCACTGTCTTGCCAGAGGCACACTTACACTACAGTTATAAAACTGCAACATTAACACCCCTCCTTCAGAGTGCAGACATTGTACTTCCCATCTCCAGGACTCAAGTCCGGCTAACCGGTTTCCCTGAATCCCTTCATATACGGGCAGCCTTATGTCCACTTATTGAGGAATATACAAAAAAAAAAAAGGAGAACAACCTATGTAATATGTCAATATTTAGGTAATGAAAATGTGATACAAGACATATTAAAAAAATATCCTAGATTTTCGTGCAAAAGATAATTCAGTTGTTGACATATCCAGACGTACTCCTGTTAACCCCTTCCGCGGATGTTCCGCATCCGCGGAAGGGGTTAACAGGGGCTAACATCCGCACAATTTCTTACATCCGCGTCCGCAAAATAAGTAAGACATCCTCATACACATCCGCATCCGCGGATATCTAAATTTTCACATCCGATGCATCTCTAATTCATATGCTATTGCACTACCATCCACAGGATAAATATTGAGTGCACAGTAAACTAGCCGCTTCAATAGCAAAATCTAAAAATCTATTGGTCATTTAATTAGGTTGAAATATGTATGTTTGTAAAGCACTCTAGTTTGGACTCTATGATCTCCGACAGGGAAGCAGAGTCAGTCTTGACCTGCCTATGGCCCCGGGCCATAGCTATGAAATGGTCATTAAAATGGCTTAGTATCATCCGCTTATCACAAGACGAGAATATAATCCCTAAGTCGGGAATGAAAGTAAACAAAGTGTGTATATATATAATGAGATATACATATAGACAGGGAGGGATGGGAGACTCGTCAAGACCAGGGAGGTAGTGACTTACCTAAACCAGGGAGGACAATGTTGAGGGTGAGACAGAGGGCAGCAAGGGAGCGAGGGAGCACAGGCAGAGCACCACGGAGCACTGAGGTCACATCCACCAGGTGTGGTGGCAAGGTCAGCTCACTCACACTCTGCAAATGTTACAATGAAAGTTACAAAAGCGTAGATACATTAATAAAAGCCACAATACCATAGCTACAACAAATCACAAGTTTCTCATATTGGCAAAATAAACTCCTGAAGGAGTGTGGAAGTTCACGAAGGAGTGTGGTATTCGGAAAGGATCTTGAGTAATCAATATAGAAGCGTACATACTCAGGAAGGATCCTGGGAACCCAGAAACGTGCGTTGGAAAGTAAAAAAAAAAAAAATAGAATCATCGGAACTCAGGAAGGTGCATAAAAACTCTGGAAGATTCGTGTGAATTCAGGAACGAGTATGTGAACTTAAAAAGAATCGTGGAAACTCAGGAAGGAGCCTAGGAACCCAGGAAGAAACGTGAGAACACAGTAGTGTGAAAGATCGTGGGAATTAAGGAAGGAGCATCATAACTCAAGAAGAATAGTGGGAAATTAGGAAGTACTGCCAGTCGGAACTTATACATAGGAGGGTCGACGGTGATGCGGCGACCTGCCTCCCGGGCCGCGGAAGAAGCCCTGAAGGAGGACGATCGGAAGTTTGTCGTTCCCTCCGCCCTTATGCGCCTCGTAGTCCAGCCTGCCCCTGTGGACGGGCGTGGGCTCCCCCAGATCGTCCACCACAATGTCAGGGGCCAACCTGCCGGTGGGCAAGACTCGGAGTCATAGATTTATGGAGGGAGGATGTGGAGAGGGAGAAAATAGAATGGTCAGGAGGACCGTAGATAGGCGAGGTAGAGCTAGAGATTTATAGGCTGGAGGGGATTTATATATATATATGGGAAATGTAGGAGGTCAGGGAAGGAAAGCTCAGGCGCACGTAGTAAAGAGAAGTTACGGTGAATACAAAGCTAATTATTCTTAAGCGAGGGCCCATTAAGGTTGGTTAAGTTATCAGGGGATGCCAGTGAGTTGGGAAGTAGGGATGAAGGTGTCGGATTGGGTTAGGTCAGAAAGATTGGATCAAGAGCAGTTGAAGGACCCTGCTGGGTCAGCCAACAAGGTCTCACCACTAGTCAGTTTACTTTTCCAGAACCCAGACAGGTGCTAAGTGACACCAAAATTCTGTCTGGTTTAAATAACAAAAAGGCACAATACCGTGACTGGAACGATACACAGTGTGACTTTGTCAATGGTCCAAGTCGGACCGAAACGTCGTCGTAAGCTTCTGTCTTTTATGTGCGGGTTATTTGTGTTCTGTCTGGTTTATCTCTAAAATATTATTATCTCTTAGTACATCATATTGTTTGTATCTATTTCCTGGTATCTCTAGTTCTAGTTTAAACTATTTTGGGTTCTAGAAACAGTAAACCAACTTAGAGGGATAATGAGGCTACATTTTGCATTCTACAGTAGCAACGTCCAGTAGAAACCGGTTACATCTACAGTAAGCCCGTCAACTTTCACTTTTATATATAAATCAAATCATGGAAAACCGCACTGCATCTACTTAAATGTCCAGTCATTAAACACATAACGAAACACTATAATGGTTAACCCAAAATATGCAAAGGCTGTCAAATAAAAATGGAAAAGGTACTCTTAGAGGAAAAAAAATAAATAGCATGTGGCGCTTAAATTTCTAGGCCTCTGTTCTACATCATTAGTAAAAAAAAAAAGCGAATTAGCAAAATATGGAAAGAAGAAAAGAGCCACGATACATAACCAGCTTTTATTGGTAAAACGTTTCACTCTGTAGAGCTTCATCGTAAAGCTCTACACAGAGCAAAACATTGTCCCAGTTAAAGCGTATTCTGCATCGTGTGTCTTGACTTCACTAATGTCAACACTGTGACTTTAGATCGAGCAAAATATCTTCTGAAAAAGAGCACACGGCCAGCATAAAGAGAGGAGGCAGCGTATTGCCCCTCACAACGCCATACCCTGGGGTGTCGCCGTCCTGGGTGTCTTGCGTCCTGTTGAGAGACCACAAGCAATGGTAAGGTTCGGTTTCTATACTTTGTACCCCTGCATTATCACCACACTGTACCCCGTCTCTCTTTCTCTCTTTTTTTTTTTCTCTCTCTCTCTCTCAACACACACATTTTAATGGAGGAAGGACACATGTAAATATCCTGACATAATTTAAAATACAGATGTTTATTAATTAGTGTAAAAAGTGTCTTATTAACTTACCTCTTTAAAGCGAACCTAATTAGGGATCTCCGAGGGGGACCTTAAAGTGGCTATCTGAACTTTCACATTTGATTTTTTCTTCTAACGTTTCGCTATTAATTCAGAACACGAGGCCTCATCCAATTTTCAAGGCTGGTGTACGGTAACTAGGGCAAGATTCTTGCTACAGTTGACATGTCCAGGTGGCCGGTGACCGAAACTGCAGCACCCATGCCATGATTCCCGGAATGACTCCGATAACTTTCAAAACCCTCTGCTGTTGGCTTCAGAGGTTTCAGAAAGCTTCATTTCCCTCTCTACGTTAACGGTGGAGAGAAGGTTCGACTGTGTGGAGGCACACTAGCAATTTTTATGAGTTAAAACAGTGTGATTTTTTTTTTATTTCCGTTCAGTCACGTTAAACTCATTTGAATCTTCCTTTAATATTTAACGACTGATGTGTTTTACGACCAAAATAGCACCCATTAGTGGGCAAATTTGTCAATGCATTAAATTTTTAAAACATGGACTCGCTGGAATCAGAGCGATAATTGGAGAGTGCCTCGTCTGGTCGGGATCGATAACTCCATTTCCGTGGATCAAGGGCCGGTCACAAGCATCAAGGTACCTCCATCGAAGTGGCTAAAATTTTGCAAGAAACAGGCACAATGTTTGGTCAAGAAGCCTCGCACGGCCGCGAACAAGATCACCCATTTACATTCTTGGGGCCGGCGCCGTAAGCGTATATTAGTGCAGAGGAGCGTCTTGCCTTCTATAAAAGGCAGTCCAGTACGTGCTTGCAGGTGGCCGTGCCTACCGTGCCTACCGTGCCTGCCGTGCCACGCAGCGATATAACGCTCAAGATGACACCTTCATCACCGTGGTGACTATCGTATAAGGCGAGCTCCGAGATTCAACACACACTGACACGACAAGTCGCAGGACGGTACAAAGGGCTACTCCTCTACAATAGACATAAAACTTATGAAAAAAAAATGTATCGGCGAGTCCTCACGATAAATGTTAATGTGTATTACACTTGGACACCCAATCAGTGAAAAAATTCAGGGAACCCACACATACACTCTTGGATGGAGGATCGAGCCTTCAATACTCCTTACGCTGAATGATCCACACTGGTTTCAGAGCTTAGTGGAATACAATGTAATACCTAGTTCCGAGAAACTACAATACACTAATGTACCACATATTATCTACCTCACAAAATGCAGCACAATACATCTGTGTATGAACAATGAACATGCAATTATTTTGGCTAGTTTTAGTTGTTCATGTTGAAAATGGTATAAAATACCGACATATTAGATAATTATATCATAACTTTTAAAGGGGTGGACCGGTAAGCCAGCGGAAGGCCTCGGTCAGATGACCAAAAGCTCCAAAGGCGGGTCATCATCTGACTAAGTCCCGCGTCAGGAAACATTTGTCCTGTTTCCTGACGAACCTTACCTAACCTAACCTAAAATACCGACAAGTTTATGAACAAGAAACATCTGCAACAGTTGGGTATCTCTGTTGCTAAGATGTTTCGCCTACATCTTCAGTCCATTCTCTGAATGTGACTGAAGAGGCCTACAACGTAGACGAAATGTATCAACAATAAAGATACCCAACTTTTGCACATGTGTCTTGTTCATTAGTTGTTTATGTTCAACAACTCGAATACGTGTTATGTTTAGCAATGTTAACCTGGTTAGTCGCGTGTGACCTGGATCACGATTCTGGTCAATCTTGTGTAACCTGGATCACGATTCTTGTCGATCTTATGTGATCTGGCTCACCACACAGTTAAATTACATGTGCCTTGACCCAGGTCCGTCTCGTGTGACCTGGCCCAAGGCCCAGGTCAATTCCTTGTTACCTGGTTCACTACCTTGAGTACCAGTCACGCCCAGCTAATAATCGAGGCCCTTCTTCACTTTTTGTCATCACGCTGTAATTACCTTATCGACTTAACAATCCAATGTAATCACCTTGCACGTTGAATTACACCTGAGCTAATAATGAGGGAGTAGTGATGTGAGAGGTGTGGCGGAAGTAACACGCCACCTAGCAGCACCTAGTGGCAGGTGGCTGGCGTTAGGTACCTTTGAACCTGTTAAGTGGGTGGTATTGGATATATTACATTGGTGTCAGTGGTACCGAGTACCAGCTGGCAACATGTCTCTTCTTCCAACCATTTAGATTGTACCAACCACCACTAGCCTATCACAGCAATCAACACCACAAACACTAAATATACAATAGAAATTAGGTCATTTAGTTCTTGCTCAACTCGTACGATACAAACATCACATCTACGATAGCAGAAAGGATTTACTTATCATAGAATTCTCTACAACATTTAGTTCACTGACTGTAGCAAACAAGTGATAAGTTTCCACGTGATTTTCCCATATAATTTTGGATTGATTTTGGCCTGTGTAGGTTCCAGTTTGTCATTTTTTTAAGGGAAGAATTTTCGAAAAATTTAATACTGCTTTTTATGCGATAGTTTCTGAGTGCTTTATCAGATTACCTTCAACCAATTATCGTTGGTAACTTGATAATGTAACTTCTGAGTGGCTTCATACGCTGCTAAACCCTGGGAATTGAGACTGGGTGGATTAGGCTAAAAATGTTGAAATTTTCTGCCTGTACTGGTTTAATGGAAAAAAATATTTGCATAACGTGGGAACCACTGCTCCCTAATTTCCAATTTCAGGGTACTGGTCTATGATACAACAGAATGCCTCTTCGGTGTACCTTCGAAGTTGGGATTTCTTAATGGAAGGTGTGAATTATATTTGGGCTGTGACTATCCTAATTTGACATTTTTGCTGCAGAAATTGTAATAAGTTGTATGTGATGACTTGCGAATGCCTCTTCTGATTCTCTTCAAATCAACAATGCAACATTAGCTACATTACAGACTTAAGGGACACGTCAATTCCCCTGTCTTCTAATAATATTTAATTTTTCCCCTATAATCCACCTTGTCCATAATTAGTATCGTATTTGCTTTGTCTGCTTTTGTAAGGTGAAGTCTAGGATATTTTTTTTAATTCATGGTATAGCTTAACAAATCTTTGAGGACAATTGTGTTGTAGAGGTCTGAGCACAGCTCAGACCTCTACAATACAATATGTTGAAGGTAAGAAACTGTACGAACCTAATATGTTACGTAAGAAACAACGTACAAAATCTTCAATGTAAGACACTAGGAACGTACATAATCTGTAAGGGTAAAATCGGAACATGCCTATACTAGTTGTAAAGCGCCAGGGCAGAGGTTCATTGACGCTGGTTGTCGGCTTTTGGTCCAAGGAATTAGATCTACCTTCCCTGAGAGCAAGTTTGATTACCTTCCCATCCCCCAGGTGCCATATCATGTGCCAAGGTTTGTGGACTTCAGTGTTTCAAGTGAATGGCGTTCAAGGTTGATGAACCTTAGTCCACGGTGTTTAAGGTGGTGGACCTTAGACCATGTCGTTGATTAGTGACCCTTTTTTCAAGACCCTTGAAGGGTGGTGGACCTTAGTCATCTGCTTCGAGAATGGATTCCTCCCAGACCGCTTTGGCTTCAGTGCCCTGGTGATAGACCAGGTACTTCAGCTAGTACCTCGACTAGGTGCTTCAGCCAGTACAGTGCCCTGGTGATAGACCAGGTACTTCAGCTAGTTCAATGCCCTGGTGATAGACCAGGTATTTCAGCTAGTTAAGTGCCCTGGTGATAGACCAGGTATTTCAGCTAGTTAAGTGCCCTGGTGATAGACCAGGTACTTCAGCTAGTTAAGTGTCCTGGTGATAGTCCAGGTGCTTCAGCTAGTTAAGTGTCCTGGTGATAGACCAGGTGTTCAGCCAGTTCAGTGCCCTGGTGATAGACCAGGTACTTCAGCTAGTTAAGTGTCCTGGTGATAGACCAGGTACTTCAGCTAGTTAAGTGTCCTGGTGATAGACCAGGTACTTCAGCTAGTTAAGTGTCCTGGTGATAGACCAGGTACTTCAGCTAGTTAAGTGTCCTGGTGATAGACCAGGTACTTAAGCTAGTTAAGTGTCCTGGTGATAGACCAGGTACTTAAGCTAGTTAAGTGTCCTGGTGATAGACCAGGTACTTCAGCTAGTTAAGTGTCCTGGTGATAGACCAGGTACTTCAGCTAGTTAAGTGTCCTGGTGATAGACCAGGTACTTCAGCTAGTTAAGTGTCCTGGTGATAGACCAGGTACTTCAGCTAGTTAAGTGTCCTGGTGATAGACCAGGTACTTCAGCTAGTTAAGTGTCCTGGTGATAGACCAGGTACTTCAGCTAGTTAAGTGTCCTGGTGATAGACCAGGTACTTCAGCTAGTTAAGTGTCCTGGTGATAGACCAGGTACTTCAGCTAGTTAAGTGTCCTGGTGATAGACTAGGTACTTCAGCTAGTTAAGTGTCCTGGTGATAGACCAGGTACTTCAGCTAGTTAAGTGTCCTGGTGATAGACTAGGTACTTCAGCTAGTTAAGTGTCCTGGTGATAGACCAGGTACTTCAGCTAGTTAAGTGTCCTGGTGATAGACCAGGTACTTCAGCTAGTTAAGTGCCCTGGTGATAGACCAGGTGCTTCAGCTAGTTAAGTGTCCTGGTGATAGACCAGGTACTTCAGCTAGTTAAGTGTCCTGGTGATAGACTAGGTACTTCAGCTAGTTAAGTGTCCTGGTGATAGACTAGGTACTTCAGCTAGTTAAGTGTCCTGGTGATAGACCAGGTGCTTCAGCTTCTGAGTTGATATGGTTACCAAAGCTTTTTTCTTGGGTAGAACTGAGAAT